CGACCAGGCTGCTCCGGGCCTGGCCGCTCCCAGCCTGGCAACTGCTGCTCCGGGCCTGGCTGCACCCGACCCGGCTGCTCTGGGCCCGGCCGCTCCGAGCCTGGCCACTCCCGGCCTGGATGCTCTGGGCTTGGCTACTGCTGTTCTGGGTCTGGCTGCTCCCACCCCGGCTGCTCCGAGCCTGGCCACTCCTGGCCTGGATGCTCTGGGCTTGGCTACTGCTGTTCTGGGTCTGGCTGCTCCCACCCCGGCTGCTCTGGGCCCGGCCACTCGGGGTCTGGGTGTTCCTGGACTGGCCACCCTGGGCTTGGTCGCCTCCACCTCAGGCCTGGCTGCCACTGCCCCAGGTCTGGCTGCTCCAGTGCTGGCTGTTGATGCTCTGGTTTTGGCTGCTGCTGCTCTGGGGCCTGGCCGTTGCTGCTCCGGGCCTGGCTGCCACTGCCTTGTGCCTGGCCACTCTAGGCCTGGCCGCCACTGCTCCAACATTCTGTCCTTTTTTTTCTTTTTTCTTTTTTTAAAACGCATTTATGTTGCAATTTTGGCTGGTGAGTTGAGTTCTGACTTAGTCTTTGATTTTTCAAGAACTTCTTTGTATTCTTTCTTAAGTAATTTTACTATCTTTTGCTCTCACTTGATTTCTTCACATTGAGAACTTCTTTGGTTTCTTCCTCCTTGTCCTGGGAGCTCAGCAGGTTGGCCTGTGGCACCCCTTTGTTCTCCGCGGGCTCCTGCGCTGCTTCAGCCTGTTGCCGGGGTCAGCGCCGCCCAGGAAGCAGCCCCCGGCCTTGGCTCCATTGCCCGCACTCAGCAGTGGAAGGCTCAGGGGCACCCCCCCCCACCCCAGGGTCCCCGTCGCCCAGCTCCTTGCTGGTGCCCGGTTGGCCGGTGTCCGGCAGGGGCTCCTGCTCCCTGCTGCGTTCCCCCAGCCCGGAGCTTTTTTTCTCCTTCCTGCTAGGGGAGTCCAGCATCAGAGTCAACAGACTGTCCTCTGCGCGCAGTTTACGCGAGTCCCGGGGGCCCGGCCTTTCGCCGCTCTCCCCGGATCCACCTCACAGCCCGTCTCCCTCTGCCTGAGTCTGGGTGCCCAGGGATTGGCCCAGAACTGGGGTTCGGAGCAGTCCGGACTGAGGCCCAGTGCCGCCGGAGGCCTTGTTTCTTCCGGCTAGGGCAACCCAGCATCAGAGTCAACATTCAGTCCTCTGCGCGCGCATTGCGCAAGACTCCGGGGGCCCTGCTTTTCGCCACTTTTCCGCCTCACAGCCCCGTCTCCTCCTACCGGAGCCTGGGTCCCCAGGGTCTGGCCCATAACTGGGGCTCAGCGCTGCCGGTTCGGGGGGGGGGGGGGGCTCAGCGCTGCCGGTTCGGGGGTTCAGCCCAGGCTGGGGGTTTTATTTCCTTCCTGCTAGGGAAGGAAAGGCAGCACCCCGCCCTCTTCTCCTCTCTGGCTGCGACCTCTCCGCGCGTGCGGGCGGGCGCGCAGCATGTCTCCGTACCTTAGGCTTTTTTTCAGCTCCTCTGATTTTCCTTCTGGCTTTCTCTTTCCTTCTTGTTGTAGAATTTTCAGTCAGTCGACTACCTGTAGCTCTGGGCAATGTCCACTCTACATCTTAGTTGTATTCCATTGAAATTGTTGTGTGCTGCCGCGGCTAGATGTCTACCCGAGCAGCCATCTTGGATCTCCCTAATTCTGTTTTTAACTAACAGATATTAACCGATCCGAAACATTTTAAATTTTCCCATATATCTACTTAGGGTCCCTGTATTTGCTTATCCCCACCCTACCAGCCTCACCCTCAGGAGATGACTGAGGGTCAGCTTGGTGCGTTCACACAGAAAAGCAGCAGGATAATCTAAGTATCCAACTGGCTTGTGAGAAGGAAGGAAAAACCCCACCCCTTTATTTCTCCCTTCAAACATGATAAAGGAGGCAGAAAGACAGCACGTTTAAGTGAAATGTTTACATTTATATTGAAATATGCACTACAACAGAATGAGTTCACTGGTCAACGAGACTTTGCCAAAGCGGAATCACAGCCTCGCGCCGGGGAGGTCCAGTCCGCTAGCAGCAGTGGTCCCCACGCAGGAACACCAACAAGAAGCTGGGAGACCCCACTCCAAAAAGCCTCCTTTCCAGAGACCCCACTCACTTCTCCCACATGCACCCACACAGACTCAAGAACGTGGACATGACCACGATTTCAATGTTTTCAGTTTCTTCACTGCAATAAATATAAACTGGCAATGCTCATACACCACAGCACAGACAACATTTCAGGCTTTAGCAGACAACTGTAAACAGTGACTAGGCTGAAAAATAAATTTGGAATTTAACAATGTGACAGAATTTATAACAGCAGGGAAAAGCTGCTCCAGATGTTTTGTGTGGGTTCGGGTTTTTGACAAAAGATATAGTCCAAAAAGGCTCAGGACAGTCTAGAATATCCGGGCAGCAAAACAACAGGTCTAAGATCACCCCTGGCAGCCCATCTTTCACCTCCACATTCAACATGCGACCACAGAAACTGTTCTAGTGTCATCACCAGCTGCTACTAATGCAGCAGGAACGGGTGGGCAGAGGACGTAAAGTTTGCTGGTAGAGGAACAGAATAATACCTCTGCAAAATTGGCCCCTTAATCATAAGGACAACTAGGACATTTCATCTGGACAGTGCATTAAATTTATATATAGGAGGGAGGAGAGAGGGGAGGAAGGAGAGGGAGAGAGAGAGAGAGATCCAAAGACTAAGCGTTAAGTTCTGTCACTGTAGCAAACTGGGATGTCGATGAAAGAAAAATACAGGGTCTTCCCCAAAAACATATACAAACTTTAGCAGCTGATAGCTCAATTTTGGAAATGAAGTGTATTTTAATAAACACTGCCTTTATAATTATTCATTTTGGGGACACCTAGATGACACTTTCTGCCTAAAGCAGTGCTGGCAAGAAATGAGAGCGGACTCAGTATCTGCACATTAGCAATGGGACAGACTTTTATTTACGTGTTTCAAATATTATTGCTTGAATAGCTCCAGTAAGTAGAAAATGCAGTGACATCTTAGGTCTGTACACGTGAGCACAGGAGCTGGAGGCCAGCACACACAGGGACACTGAGTCCTCTGCTGCTGGGGCACCCCGACTCCCACCCTCTGACCAACAGAAGACCTGGACAGAAAACTGTCTTTTCACACACAAAATTGTGGCTTAGTTAGTTATTCTCCCTAGAACTTTACCCAAGCTAAGAAAAAAAAAAATTCAAGAACCTGGGTTACTAAAAATAAAAATTTAAAATAGTAAACAAGTTTAGTAAACATCATGTGTACTTTCTTTTGTTAATGAAGACATGATACATTTAGAAAACTATGTATGTATTTTTTTCTTAAAAAGACAAAAACCAAAAACAATAAAATTCCTAGAAAGAGGCTTGACAAGAAAAGAACACACCGGCCAAGCTCTATCCTTCAACCAGGACTGGCTCAGCACAAACCAGCACACTTCCCGCCCCCGAAGCACTGCTATCTGCCCGGCAGGCAGACATGGGCATCCGCCGTAGTTACTGACCCAGAATGTTAGCAAAACACTGCAGAGCACATCTGGACAGGCTACTTCAATATCTCCCTGGTCCAGTTTAAATCTGTCTGTAGACCCAGTTTGTACACATTTCATAGGTACAAGAACCATTCACTGTCCCCTTGTTTCAAAATGGCAGTTCTTGTAGCGCTCAAACCATTCAGATAATGAAGAGCTCTCTTGAAAGAAATTCTCTGAAGATACATTAAGAAGAAAGCCTGAAAGTTAAACAAGCCTGAGGTGGGGAGGGAGAGGAATCAAGTAGGATGTTTATTCTGAAGAACAGTTCCACTTGTTTCCCCATGAGAAAAGGCCAAACTTTTCAGACTGATATAATTTAAAAACTAAGACAATACAAAAATAAAATATACACCTTAGATACTAAAAAACTTGAAATAATGCCAGGGTTCATGGAATGAAAAATAGAAGAGGTCTGATTCTGATCCTCCCCAACCCCCCACCAAAAAAGGAAGGAAGGAAGGAAGGAAGGAAGGAAGGAAGGAAGGAAGGAAGGAAGGAAGGAAGGAAGGGAGGAAAAAAACTGTAACAGGCTCTAAGGGAAAAGCAAACCAAACAAACCACTCCGGATCTGGATAGCACTACACAGACTCTAGCGCAGAACACTCACAAGAATGCGTCACATCAGAATATCATGAGAATAACTGGCTGGGTACTTACACGCCCAGCAACAGAGCTCCGAGGTCAAAAAATGTATTAAAGCTGGTAACATCAGCAAGGACCCCTCCAAAAAGGGAGCAAAGGATGCATGCATGGGTCTGTTCAGACATGATATTCAGCAGCATAAAAATAATACCCACCACAGAGTACCCCAATTGGGGCAAAACCTACTCTTCACTGCTAAGCCTGGGAAAGATAAGACAGTGGAACAAACCACTTGTAACTATAGAATCTCCCATATTTGAATGACAAGTATGTCCAATCTGATGTTATATGTCAAAACATTGAGAATACACGAATAAAGGAAAAAAGAAAAAGGCTAAATTATGAACCTTAAAAATTGGAAAAAACCATGTTTTAAAGCCAAGTAGGTGTGATTCTGATCATCATTATATATGACATAATCCATAGAAAGAAAGGCCAAGAAAAGAATCTTCATTTTGTTCAGTACTTAGGCTTGATGTCATTCTAGGTGAAACAGTGATAGTTCAATAAATGCATCACACATACAACTAAAAAGTCCCCTTCTGGTTTCAAATGAATTTAAACAACCATCTTCCTTAACTAATTCTTCTCCTGTGTCAAACAAACCTATGTACAGGACCAGTTTCAATCCCTCCTCCCTTTCCAACACTAGATATGAACATCCAGGAACATCCTACAACGCCAAGTGCCTCAGGAAAGAGAAGGCTCCGAGTGCCAGTGACATAACTGATCTGAGGAAGGGGGATGCAGTGAACACTGATGGCAGCCAGTCAGGCGATGGTGGTTTGCTTCTCCTCAGGGGTTTCCTCCAGCAGCTGCATGATCAGTTCGTGGAGGGGTTTGCAGATCTTTGCGTAGCCCCCTCCCGTGAGATGCAGAAAATCAAACATGTCGTGGCAGGAGATGGCACCGTCCGAGTGCACGAAGCCCCCATCGGTATCCAGGAGCTGAACATTGGCAAGCTTTGGCAGGGAAACCTTGAGGAGCTGGTTCACCTTGGCATTTTTTTGCCTCAAAGGGTTGGGCTTCTCACCTCTAGGTAACAAACCCTGGGCAGAGCAAAAAAGAACATAAGATGAGAAGAGTCTTTTGCTAAGTCTACTTATTTGGCACTTGCTACATCTTTGATTTCTGAAACACTGGACCAGCTTGGTTTAAATAAGTTCTCTGACGATCCCTTCTCAGTCTCTCCAGCTGTTCCTCTTCCTCCTCCTGTCCCTGAATCACTGATATTCTCAGGGTCGTCTCCTTGGCTCACTATTCTTCCCAGTCTGAAAACTTTGGTCCAATCTCTCCCTAGAGCTTCAGAACTACATACTGAACATCAGCTACAGAAGCAAACGTGAATGCTCCTGTGGCACTCCCCACTCACTTCACATGCCCAACTTCCCCCAACCATGCTCCTTCTACATTCTTTGTACCGGCTGGTCATTCCAACACCCCAAGTCTCTTCCACACACCTTACCTATTTATCATTAAATTACTCAGCTTTTGTATCCTAAACATTCACTAATCCATTCTGATTATACACACTGCTGTGGCTGGTTACTCACACCTCCATTAACGTAAAATCTCCTGACTGGTCTTTCTATGGCCAATGTTGTCTTTCCTTCACATCATTCTCAACACCGTCACTAGAATAATCTAACTCAAATACACATCTATTTGTTAACGCCACATGGAACCTACATGACTGCACATGAGAAATAAAGTTGAAACAAATACTGTCTTGATGAATCAGAGACACAAAATATCTGGTAGATTAAAACAGAGATGTGTCCTAATTTGTTTTTAACTTATATGTTAGTGATCTAATATGATTTTCAGATAAAGTAGGTATCTGTCCTTCTATAATAAATAAAAACCTGGTCTTATATGATAAGAGCAAGGTTTTATCATCTCAAACTAGAAATGGCCTTTAAAAACCATCAAGTCTAAATCATACACTTTACAAAGTGTTTCCCCCAATATTTCCAGTATCCACCTGACACCATACATAATTATTACAATATTATCATCTATATTTCCTATGCTGTACTTTACATCCCAATGACTATTTTATAATTACCGATTTTACTTCTCAATTCCTTCACCTTTTCACCCAGTTCCCTACCTTTTTTTACATATATTTCAAAATATTTGGGATCAGATTGAGTGATCTATTTTATAATTTATACATTATTTTTACTTATACATTATCAGTATACATGAGTAAGCTTATTAATGGTTTTGTTAAATATTTTAATATCCTGCTAATATTTTGTCTATTATATATAATTATGACAGAATTGTTAAACTTCTTTATATTTCTAGACTTGTCAGTTTCTTTTAAATTAGGTTTGTTTCTGCTTTGTATATTTTAAGGCTCCTTTATTAAGTACACCCAAGTTCTTTATTTTTATATTATTTTGCTTCTATTAGAACTTCTGTTTTATTAGAATGAAATAATTGTTCTATTGAAAGCTCTTTCTTTAAATTCCACTTTGGTATTAGTATGTTGCTGCAGCTTTTTAAAATTAGCATTTGAGTGTTATACTTGTTTAATTTTAACTTTTCTGTGCCATTTTGTTTAATTGTACCCTTGAAACCAGCATGTAAGTAGTGCTTTTAAGCTAATATTTTCTTAAGGGAATTTAATCAATTTAACATTTTGTGGTGAATTCCATCTCTATATCTTATTTTTGTGTGTTGTTTTACCATGCTTTCATTTGATATTTTTCTCCTTGTTTTTCTACCTTCCTGTGGATTGACAAAATTAGTATCATCATCATTAAAAATAAATAAAATAAAAAATAAAAAATAAAAAAAATAAAAACCATCAAGTCTACTATAAAATTAGTCAGACACCCACAACCTTTTAGTTGGTTAATAGCTGATGATGACATCTATTTCTACTACAGAGTACAGTAGGAAGTCTTCTTTCACAAAAATAGATTTTTTGTGGGTGTTCTATTAAAAGATAATTTTTATTATGCCCAAAGTAAGTACTTGTTCATGCCCATTTTACATTTTTTTTTAGCAAAATTTTGGGGCCTTGATTACCAATTTATTGTGTGATTGTATAGTTAGTTCCAAAAGAGAATCATGACTCTGCTACCCTTATTCATCTTCTTTTATCCTTGTTAAAAGCGCCTCAAAATGTCACAGATGAGCCCTGGCCATTGTGGTTCGGTTGGGCATCATCCCATACACCGGAGGGTTGCTGGTTCGATTCCCGGTCAGGCTCAATCCCCAGTAGGGCGTGCAGGAGGCAGACCAACATTTCACTTTCACATTGATGCTTTTCTCTCTCCCTCCTCCTTATTCTCTTAAAAAAAAAAAAAAAAGTCACAGATGAGGTCATCCTAAGCCCTAGTTTATATATGACATAGAATAAGCAACCAGAAGGATGGCCAGTGAACAATAAATATGATACATACTTTGTTCTGACTTTCAAGTAATACAACAGCAGTCAAAGCCATAAAGATTGATTAAGCCTCAAGAACAGGGCAGCATACCTACTGAAATTTTCAAGCAAGAATGAGAAAAGTAGATAAGTATTTGCATATATTTTCCTTAATATCAGGGTATGCCATGGGACTTTCCCCCTAAAATAATTAGTAATTGCTAAAATATTATGTTAACACAAACACAGCTCTCTCTGGCGCACTGGGTTCTTGGCTCTCCTGTGGCAGGAACATGCCCCCTGCGCCCACGTGGCTCACGGCCATTTGGAGCTCCAACATGGACTCGTGGACTTAATTAGCTTAGAGACCAAGCCACACCAGCTACACCCTGGAACAGAAGCTCTGGACACAGGGCTGCTTTTCGCTCTCTTGGAACCCTCGCTTTCCAGGACTAGCTTAAGAGCATTGGGTCTTGAAACTTGAGAGAAAGAAGCTTCACAGGCACGTGCTTTGGGCCCCTTCCCTGCTGCAGGGAGTCGATCTATCCTCCCATAAATGTTGCTTTCACTTAAAAAACAACAACAAAAAAACACAAAAAAAATTATGCTCCTAATCCCTTTACTAATAACAATAATTTTAATTGTTGCCTTTTCCAATTGCATATATACTTTTAAGTAGTTCTAAGTAAAAGATACATAGTTTATTCAAACTTTTCACTTAAATACATCTCAAGTTGTTGTTGTTGGTTTTTAAAAAAATATATTTTATTGGTTTTTTTACAGAGAGGAAGGGAAAGGGATAGAGAGCTAGTAACATCGATCAGCTGCCTCCTGCAGACACACCCTTGACCAGAATTCAACCTGGGGCCTTTCAGGCCCCAGGCTGACGCTCTATCCACTGAGCCAAACCGGTTTTGGCAAGTTGTTTTTGTGCAGTTTTCATAATTGTCATTTGATTAATGCTATTATGTAAATGGTCTATGCAATCATTCCCCCATGGGGTTAACTGGTTAGGTTATTGCCAATGTTTTAGTGTTGTAGGTAGAACCACTGTACATCAGATTTAAGTCTGATTGAACTAAAGAATATGTATGGAGGATTTATTCAACAACTTCATGCGATAAATATGTCCTAAGCAACTACTATGGACTCGGCACTGTACTTCAGAACTCATAACTACAATATAATCCTTTCTGGAACAAGGCAAGATACGAGTAAGTAAATTAAATAACACGTGATGCCACATAATAAAAATAATTTTTAAAAGACCTGACACCTGGCCTCTGTGGCTCAGCAGGTGAGTCTTGGTCAGGGCACATGCCTGGGTTACTGACCATCAGTGAGGGGAGGGCAGGAGGCAGCTGATGAACGATTCTCTCTCATCACTGATGTTTCTATTACTTTCTCCCTCTCCCTTCCTCTCTGAAATCAATAAACATATTTGAAGAAACGGACAAAAAACAAATCTGGTTCCCCAGCATCTGTAAGATAAAATGCAAACTCTTAACATGGTATACAAATTCCGAGAGGCCCTGGCTGTGGCCTCTCTCTTAACAATCCTACTCTCAAACTTTCCCAATGACAACCTGAACTTCTTCTAGCACCCGTGCTCACTCACCCAACAACACATACATGAAGTTTTTGATCATTTTATTTTGTCCTCTGTAATGCCTTCTCTTCTTTCTGATCCCCATTTGGAGACCAATTAATTCTTTAAAACTAAACTCAGACATCAACTATATGTCTAAAACATAGTATACAGTGTAATGAATCTCTCTCCTGCTGTCCACCCGCCAGGCTGTGAGCGCCTTGAGAAGTACTATGTCTGCAGGACCTAGGACAGTACTTTGCACTCAGCAGTCCTCACCTGTTTGAGTAAATGCCTATCTTCTTAATATTATTTAATTCAAGAACTGAACACATCAGATTTTGCTAAAACATACCTTTTTAGTTGGACTAAGGATACCTACAGGTACACTTGTCTGTGAAACAGACTGTTGTTTGTCTCTGAAACTGTAGACTCACTGTTTTAACTCTACAAAGGGTAGCACTTTCTGTCAAGGTTAAGACTATGAAGTACCCATTTTCTTTTCTTTTTTAAAAATATATTTTATTTTATTTTATTTTTACAGAGAGGAAAGGAGAGGAATAGAGAACCAGAAACATTGATGAGAGAGAAACATCGATCAGCTGCCTCCTACACCCCCCCCCCACTGGAGATGTGCCCGCAGACAAGGTTCATGCCCTTGACCGGAATCGAACCCGGATCTTCCACAGGCCAACGCTCTATCCCCCGAGCCAAACTGGTTTTGGCAGTACCCATTTTCTTAGTGATGGATTCTCTGATATGTCAGGGAATTCAGAGATCCAATGACTACACCACCTTTAACATATTAACAGTGACACAGAACACACCACATCTAAACTAGTCCAAACTCAGGGCTATTAAAAAGAGACTCAGAGCCGGGACCGGTTTGGCTCAGTGGATAGAGCGTCGGCCTGTGGACTGAAAGGTCCCAGGTTCGATTCCGGTCAAGGGCATGTACCTTGGTTGCGGGCACATCCACAGTGGGGGGTGTGCAAGAGGCAGCTGGTCGATGTTTCTCTCTCATCGACGTTTCTAACTCTCTGTCCCTCTCAATTCCTCTCTGTGTAAAATCAATAAAAATATATTAAAAAATAAATAAAATAAAAATAAACAAATAAAAAGAGACTCAGAACTAGGACAAGTCTTATATGTAATTTTAATAACTATTAGAAGACAGTTAAAATTTTTAAAAATAAGGCTACCTGAGGCAACAAAGAGGGTTTCTACTTCTAAATAAGGATGAGAAGCTAAAAGTTGACCCTACAGCTGGTCTGGTAAAGAATGAGACTGCTAAGACAATGGAATATATCAGAGAAGTGTTTCTCAGGAGTATTATACTTGCTTCCACCTAAAGATTCATGTACCTCATATTTCTAAAAGATTCCTCACCTGACCCAATCGTAACAAGGTCTCCACCCCCCAAGGACTACATACCAACACAATGATTTTGGCCTGTGGCTGCCTTGTGTTGATAAGTTGTACGATGGCCTCAATTCCACCTGCTACTTCTTCTGCAGTATTTTCATGGTTGTTTGTTCCTACCCAGACAACAATGACCTATAATTTAGGGGGGGAAAGAGGGGTAAGTACCCAGGAATAAAGGAACTTCTCAAATGGTACTAACTTCAACTGAGCAATCACCTTAAAACACTGATTCACACCTCATATATATTAAAATAAATTCCCAGAAGGAAAATAAGAGATTTCTTTCATCACCATGGAGTTGGAAGCTAATCTCTTAAAAACTAGACATTCTACAGAAAACATAACAAATTCAATGTCTACAAATAAAACCTGTTGCATATCAAAAAAATTTAAATAAAGTGAGATCTAAGAAATCTGGGGGGAAATATTTGCTACCCGTGTAAAAGTCTCCTTGCCTGGAAGTACTACAGAACCCCAGGGAGTGTAATAGGATAAATAACACAGCTGCATCCAAGGAAGTCACTGGGGTGCAAGGTGGATGAAGTTTTAACAAGGTTTTCTCTTTTTGTATGTATATCCCTAGGGACATACACCTTACTTTTCCACACTATCACCAAAGAGAGGAACCCGGATGAGTTTTTCTATTAGAAAGGCAAAGAGTAAAATAAAACTAAAGCAGTTGATATCAGTGGCTCGGCTTTGCTTCTTTCTTTGAGGCTGGGAGAAGCATGGAAGATGTTTATAAGGTGAAGGTACTGGGAACATTTGTGGTGCACCTTTGTTCACATCGGCTTCCAATGTTCTTCAGAAGTCCTCGGAGACGCTGATGACCAATTTGTCTATGTGGTTAAATAGATCCAATTACTTCCTGTGGGGAATCTTGGCCCTGCTCCCAGGGCCCACCTCCGAGCAGCTTACCCCTCATACTGCCTCAGGTTCATAGACTTGCACACCTCATTAGCAACACCTCTCCCTACAGTTGAAAAGTGTAACAATTACAAATACCATTCAAGCGTGTATGCTGATTTCTTTCCTTTTTTTTTTTGGTTAAGCCTCACCCAAGGATCTTTTTTCATTGAATTTTAGACAGAGTGAAAGAGAGGGGGAGAGACACAGAGAGAAACATTGAAGTGAGAGAGACATATCAACTGGTTGCCTGCAATCCAGGTACGTCTTTGATAGGAACTGACCCTTTAGTCCTCGGGCCGGTGCTCCATCCACTGAGCCAAACTGGCTTGGGCTGATTGCTTAATTAAATGTGTATTTGGAATGTTCTTAAGCAATAACATCATTCATCTTAGTGGGGTATGAACCAAAGAACAACAGTGAAATAATGCTTTGAAACAACTTTTTACTACTAGTTTTAGACAATTTGACTATCTGAAAAATACTCAAGATTAACAATATTCTTTAAAAAATAAGTTTCATTTCACCTTAGGTTTAATATTCTCCAGCTCTCCATTCTTTAGCCTCCATAAAACATGTCTTGTTGTATCTCCTCCAATTCCAAAATTCAGTGCATGGAGTGGAGAAAAAAGTTCTCGCCATATCTGAAAAGAGAAAAACTTGATTTATTTAAGCTGAAATTTTTGGGAAATAAAATCCCCCAATCACAATGTGCCTGAAATAACAATTCTCATTTTCTGCATCCACACAGCACACGGTAAGTACTGTGCTCCTCGGTGAAGGGCTCGGAAGATGCCACTGTACAACTCGGCTCTCCGTGCAGCACTCCGTCTCAACTCCAGAAAGTCACTGCTCAACCTGCTGCCCCGTAAGAGACTGCGATACTTATAAATAAATGAGTTGCCAACTGAATAAACTCTCCCTTTCCTTTATTCAATCATTTAAAGAATCAGGGTGAAATAGAAACACGAGATGAAGATATTTACAGTGCTGGAGCCAAACAGAAATAACACAAAGAATAAGAATTGAGAATCATGACCAAGACAAATATAAATGAGCAAATACAAATACAAATAAGAAAATAGTAAGACACAAATAAGAATTGAAAACCATGACTAAGACAATAAATGTAATGTGAAGCTTCTTGGAAGCCAAGGCCAAAAAAAGTTTACTTATAAACAATGCTACCTTTTAGTGTCGTTGTGCCTAGTGCACGGAGCAGCATCAGGCATGGCTGACACCTTACACTGGGAGCTGGAGCTTTTCCAGGGCATCAGCTCAGAATGCAAGTCTGCCAGTGCTGAATGCACTTACTTCAGTAGGCACAGCACCCCGTCACTGGCATCTCACCTCGTACTGCTGCATTAGCTGCACCATGGAGTCCCCCACAAACAGCACGTCAGGCTCTTTGTCTTTACAGTCCAGGACGAATCTGTTGTGCTGGTGGAAGAAGGAAACATTAGAAACTGGCCTCTCTTTCCCCATGAGACTTGTTGGCCTAGATACAACAGTTGTCCAACCAGCACTCTGCCGTTCAACCTCCAATGTGGCCTGTCCCTAAAGCTGATCCCTCTTGATTGGCAATAAACTGGTGGAACTTTCTTCCCACCCTTACTATAGTCATCACTCTAGTATGCTCAAGAAAACAGCAATTTTACTGAAACCAAAATTTTAAAAATACATTTAACCCTTTTTTTTAATGTATCTTTTCCTCAAGCCGTTAAAAGAAATTTTCAGATATACAAGCAAAAGAGCTGAAGTAATACAATGAATACCTGTACATCTCCCACCTAACCAATAACCTTTTCCCATATTTGTTTTCTCTGTATGTATTTGTGGAACCATTTGGAGGATTTTTTTTTTAATATATTTTATTGATTTTGTACAGAGAGGAAGGGAGAGAGATAGAGAGCTAGAAACATCGATGAGAGAGAGAGTCATCGATCAGCTGCCTCTTACACACCCCCTACTGGGGATCTCCCCACAACCAAGGTACATGCCCTTGACCGGAATCGAACCCGGGACCCTTCAGTCCCCAAGCCGATGCTCTATCCATTGAGCCAAACCAGTCCCGGCCATTTGGAGGATTTGAAGGTCAGTTACAAGCACTGTGATTCCTCACCCTTAAATATTTCAGCATGCATCTCCAAAGTGTAAAACCATTAAATCATTATCACATCTAAGAAAATGAACAATAATCCCATAATATCTAACATTCAGTCCATTTTCAATCTTTCCAATTGTCCCAAGAGTTGGATTTCTATCTATCCAATCAAGAAGAATATAATTTACTTGGATGCCTTTGAAAATGTCTAACTCCAAATGTGAGACACAGGCAAACTAGAATTCAAGCCTTTTTCAGTCTAATCCAAGCTGATAAGCAGTGGTGATTTAATCCTGGAATACTTCTCTTTGTTCTGAAGGCACAAGACACTTTTCCAAATGGATTTACCCATCAGTGCTTCCAACTTTCATATTTGCCCCTGAGACAAACTTACATGATGCTTTAGGCAACAGGTCTCTAACTAACCCAGTTCTAGGGAAAGGCCTGAATGCTACTTTTTTCTCAAACTATTGTGCTCTCCCCTAGGAATTAAGCTAGAGTTACTATTTAAGTATATCTGCTGATAATACAGTGCTGACTGCTACTGTGATGAAACTGAGAAATTCATTAGCTATAGGTGAAAATAAAGTTACTTCTGGAAATAATTTGACAATTAAAACAACTTGTCTTGCCCAGCTTGTGTGGCTCAGAAGTTGAGTATTGACCTGGGAACCAAGAGGTCACTGGCTTGATTCCTGGTCAGGGCACATGCCTGGGTGGTGGCCTTGATACCTAGTAGGGGTTGTGCAGGAAGCAGCCAATTGATGATGTTCCTCTCTCATCAATGTTTATATCATTCTATTCCTCTCCCTTCCTGTCTCTCTAAAAATCAATTAAAAACATATTTAAAAAAAACTTCTCCCTTAGGGTGACAGGATTTTGGATAACTTTTTCTTTTCTCTAACATACATGTCTTGTATAAATAAAAAAAATTTAAAATTACTATTGTTTCAGTAAGTATTTTTATTAAAGGGATAAGATGAGCAAGAATAAACTTGAGCTAGTGAGCAGGTACATGTTCACATCCCGTCAACTCTCTACTGCATGTACTCTCTATAGTTCCAACTACCTTTCAATCCCAATAAAAGAACATTTATAGCATCTCATGAAATTGAGGCTCTGCTGTTGTAAGTATTCCATATTTTCTTTTTTTTAAATTTTCTTTTTATTTTATTGATTTTGTACAGAGAGGAAGGAAGAGAGATAGAGAGTTAGAAACATCGATGAGAGAGAATCATCGATCAGCTGCCTCTTGCACACCCCCTACTGGGGATATGCCCGCAACCAAGGTACATGCCCTTGACTGGAATCGAACCCGGGACCTTTCAGGCTCCAAGCCGACGCTCTATCCATTGAGCCAAACCGGTCCTGGCTCCATATTTTCTTTTTAAGTGTAAAAGTAATTGCAGTAAGTTTGGAGAAATATAAAAGATCAAACAAAACACCTACAATCCTCCCATTGCCCCAACTAGGGTTGAACCCACAACCTTTTGGAATATGAGATGACACCCCAACCAAGCCATCTGGCCAGGACAAAACCATAATTTTTAAAGGACACATAATATCCCACTGGATGCACCTAGTGACACCTTTTTAAAAAAATATATATATTTTATTGATTTTTTTACAGAGAGGAAGAGAGAGGGATAGAGAGTCAGAAACATCAATGAGAGATGAGAAACATCGATCAGCTGCCTCCTATACACCCCCTACTGGGGATGTGCCCGAAACCAAGGTACATGCCCTTGACCGGAATCAAACCTGGGACCTTTCAGTCTGCAGGCCGATGGTCTATCCACTGAGCCAAACTGGTTTTGGCCCTTTTTATTTTTTAAGGCTCTTTTATCTATTGATAGACTTACCAATAGTTTATTTATTGATAGAGAAATTATTTTACTTTTAACATTGTAGAAATTCTTAAATCAAAGGGGATTAAATTTTTTATAGATTTTGGATATACTTCCAAATTCTTAACAAAAAGGCTCTATCTTTACTGTCCCCAGCAATGTATCAGAACTGGTTTCACCGTGCTTGCATGGGCACTAAATATTAATATTTCTTCCTTCCCACTGTTTTAATCTGTATTTTTTTAAAAACAAAAATTTAACACTTCTTGTCATGTTTATTGAGATATTTATCTAGTGGTACCTTAAAAATCTTTTTATTGACATTATAACAAAAATAGCAATGCTTCATCTTTAATATTTATTGCAAATAGTTTCCTCAGTCTGCTGCTGAATCTTCTTTCTCTGGCTAATGTTTTGATACTTGTATTAAATTTATCTATAGTCAAGCCTTTCAATTATCACCCTTAAAAACCTTTTATTGTGGAAAATATCAAATATACACATAGAAAACACAAAGAACCTTTATGTATCTATCTGTCATCAGTTACAGCAATTATCTAACTTATTGCCAGTATTATTTCAGTCACTCCCCCAAACTACTGCCCCACTCACTCCTCGATTATTTTGAAGCAGACTGATACAGCATTTCATGTACAAATATTTCACTATGTAATTCCTAAAAGATTATAAAAATATATATAACAACAATACCAATGCTACTCCCCTCTAAATAGTAATTCTTTAATATTAAGAAGTAATGTATTCAAATTCAATGTTACAAAATTGTTTTACAGCCTTTTTAAAATTAGGACCCAGCTGAAACCGGTTTGGCTCAGTGGATAGAGTGTCAGTCTGCGGACTAAAGGGTCCTGGGTTCGATTCCGGTGGGGGTCATGTGCCTTGGTTGTGGGCACATCCCTGGTAGGGGGTGTGCAGGAGGCAGCTGAACAATGTTTCTCTCTCTTCGATGTTTCTAGCTCTCTATCCCTCTCTCTCTTCCTCTCTGTAAAAAAAAAAATTAATAAAAAATATATTTAAAATTATCGATAGGACCCAAGTTATATCTTAAACCCCCTTCCACATCTTAAAAATATACTAGTGGCCTCATGGACAAATTCGTGCATGGGGTGGGGGTGGGTGTCCTCAGCCCAGCCAGCGATCAGGGCTGGCCAGCTGGGGGGGAGGGACTGCGGGAGGTGACCACCTAGGGCAGTTCCTGCATTGAGTGTCTGCCCCCTGATGTTCAGTGCACATCATAGCGGCCAGTTGTTCGGTTGTATTGATCACTTAAGAATATATATATATATATATATATATATATATATACACACAGACACACACACACACACACACACACACACACACACACAGAGAGGAAGGGAGAAAGAGAGCTAGAAACATCAACGATGAGATGTTCAACCATTAATATTGGCGGCCTCCTGCATACCTCACACTGGGGTTCAAATCCGCTACTTAGGCATGTGCCCTCACCAAGAATCAAACTGTGATTTCCTGGTTCATAGGTTGACGTTCAACCACAGAGCTAAGCCAGTTGGGCTCTCTTAAATCCCTTTTAATCTATAGCTTTCCCCGCCCCCTGTCACCATCTCCCAAACTTATTTTTAAGGAATGTGGGTACTTGACTTCCTGTCTGGATTATGTTGTTTACATTCTTCTGGTGGCAGCTAACTGTTCACGTGTTCCAGGTATTTCCTGATATGTGGTAGTTAAGTCTACATTAGAGTTGACATTTTGGTAATATTTTGAGGGTAGTACTGATTATAACTTGAGTATTTGTTTTAATCACGATTAGTTTTCTTAATATTTTCAAAATAATTTTAGTTCTACAAAAGAGATCCAAAGACAATAAAGTATTTCCGTATGTCCTTCACTCAGCTTCTTCCAACATCCTACATAAATAAGCATGATACACTTGTCAAAACTAAATTGGCAAACACCATCAACTAAAAGTTTATCCAAATCTCACTCATTTTTCCACTACTGTTCTTTTCCTGTCCCCAGAGCCTGCCCAGGACATCATGCTGCATTTAGCCACGTCTCCAGCCTCTGCCAACGCCCAAGCTTGGTCTTTTCTGACCACGCCGCGTTCTGGAGAATTTCCCCCACGTGGGTTTGTCTGATGTTTTGTCATGAGGTTATGGATTCTTCTGGAAGACTACCTGAGGTGATGTGTCCTTGTTTTATCAGGGGGCACATGATACTGATATGACTTACTACTGGTGATGTTAACATCAATTACTTGGTTATGGTGGAGTTTGCTACAGTTCTCCATTATAAAGTTTTTTTTGTTTGTTTTTTTTGTGTTTTTTTTTAACATTCTCTACTTGTTTTCAGAAGCAAGACACTAAATTCACAGCCCACATTAAAGTTCCACCTGCTGGGAGGGGGGAAGAAATGAGGAACCTTTGTAATAATATGAACAATAAAGATTGATTAAAAAAAATAATTAATAAAAAAATAAAAAATAA